TATTTAGTATTTAGCATATATTAATAATTAAATATTATGCAGGATTATTGTCCCAAATGTTTTAATTAACAGTAAGCAATTTAATTTAAAATAACCCAAGAATTATCTAGATTCACCTGAGATTTTTATGAAGCTCCTTTTGCCTGAATATAATTTGTTCTTGAATGCCTTTCCCAAGAATTTGCCTAATGTAGCATTTTATTTTTAAGGTTGTCTCATTTTCATTTTAAGTCCACTTTTTCTTATGTTACACCTTCAATTCCTTAGCTAACTCTTACAACAGACAGTTCCTGCATGTCTGTTGACTGGCTTAAGTACTCACACCAGCCAATCTAGTTGTAATTCAAGAATTAAGGTGTGTAGACATGAAAAGACACACAGCCCATGGAGTGTTGAAGGAAACTCTGACTATGCCCAATTACAAGCAACAACCAAAATGCTTATATGCTGTGTAAACTATGGTGTGTGTGTCTGCACACACAAGTGAGTGTATTACATGTATGGGGGAGGGAGCATGTGTCGGTGTGTGTTTACTAGAACTACAGTGATTTTTAAATCACTATCAGTATGTAGGTGTAAGCGTGATGAAAAGGGTGTTTAATTGCAATTCACAATTATGCAGATTCAGATCGATATTTTGGATGTAAAATGCCTCTGTAGTGCAATCACTCTAGAGAGCATATATTTATTGTTCATTTGTTTTTGCCAGCTATAAATTGAGAATCAATACTATTCTACTTCTAGCTTTAAAAGAATGGAATTAAAATAAAAGAAGCAGTACGTTTTTCCGTTTGTGGGGAGAGGGACATGTAATACGGGAAATGGATCACAGAAAGGCAGATGGGGGTGTTTCTGACATTTCGTAAAGTTCTAGTTGTTGGCCTTGGTGGTTACATGACATCATTATTTTTCATAGTTCTTTACTATGAACATATAAATTCCCCTGCAATTTACTATATGTTCATTTAGCAATAAATATTTTAGTTTTCTTATATAAAACTAATAAAAGCTAACATACATTTCGTGAGCACTCTGTGCTGAGAACTTATAACAATTCCACGCATAGTAACTACTCTTTACCCCTCGTTCATTGTTGATGTACTGATATTATTATCTAACAGATGATGTCGTTGAGGCACAGACTTTGGTTAATTTCCCCATCTCATTGTAATAGAACCATGATATTTACAAAGCAAGTTGGGGTCCAGAATCTGGTATATAAGAACACCATGACTATAATTATTATTTCTTCAGTTTGGGGTGTAGGAATTTCACTAGACACCATAATAGCATGAATAAAACATCTCTCACAAGTGAGGTATCCCAAGAATGGAAAGACAAGCACCACATGTACTCACCATCAAATTGGTATTAACTGATCAACACATAAGTGCACATATAAGAATAACATCTATTGGATGTTGGGCAGGGGGGAGGGGGGGGGGGAGGAGGGGACGGGTATTTGCATACACAAAGAGTGCAATGCGCACCACCCGAAGGATGGACATATTTGAAACTCAGACTTGGGGGGGGGGGCAAGGGCAACATACGTAACCTAAACATCTGTACCCCCATAATATGCTGAAATAAAAAAAAAAAATCTCTCACGGAGTTATGTACTCCAATTCGAGGTTTTTCGTGCTATTTGTTTATTTGATCTTCAACAGTCTTGACACCAGAGGAGAGGGACCTCAAACAGCAATAAGGAGCCTGGAGTAAAAGTGACATTTTTTTTTTCTCTAGATATTAATGAAATGGAATTCTGGATTAACTATCAGGGTCCTCTGAATTTAAGTCCAGAAAATCAATTTTTGCTGACTGCCCCAGTAAAACACAGGTTCTGGGTTTACAAAGTTGAGGACTACATTCCAGCTCAAAGTTTCTCAACCAGAGATAATTTTGCGTGCACACACACACAGAAACATTAGCAGTATCTGAAGACATCATAACTAGGAGGAGGTTACTACTGGCATATCGTGGGTTGAGTCGAGGGATGCCATTAAACATTTCATAATGCATAGGTCAGGCCTCCATGACAGAAAATTATCTGGTCTCAAATTTAATAGCTCCAAGGTTGAGAAACACTATTCTAGACTCTGGTAAAGCAACCCAGCAAGCTGGTCTTCTCCTCAAGTAATCTCTCACCTAGAACCCTCCAGCTTCCTCTCCCATTTCAATGATTATTAGCTCTCGTTTATAGTTAATTTTCAGATGCAAATAAAGATCATTCATAGCACATAGGTATATAGGCATTTAAGTAAGGTGCTTTTCAAGTCTGAAATAACACTTCAGTGCAAAACATAATTATATTTTTAAATTAAATACTATGTTAGATTGTCATATTAGTCCAGTCCCTTCACCACCACAGGCAACATTCTTTGTTAAAGGGGCACAAGAAGAGCATGAAGACTCCAGATTTAATAATATAGTCACCAAACATTTCATGGAAGCTTGTACAATTAAAAATGGTAGCAAGGCATGTTGGGTTAATTATTGTTTCCTTCTGTTAAAGAAGAAATGAACATCACTCCCATTACTCTCTGCTTATCCGAAATTACATTATATTTTATTTGACTTTTCTCAGTCATATTAGAATTGTCATGTTAGAATTTTCATATTAAACTTGATATCAGTTGTTAATAGTAAAACTATAGATTAGTCTTTTTTTTAGTTAAAAAATTTGTATACACTGATTACCTCTAAAGAGTTTTAATGAATTCCATTAGAATATCTGTATTAGAAAAAAAAATGTTGAGTCATTTTCATGCACACACACACACACACACACACACACACAATGACACACAAATACATGGCTTTCAGGTCACTATCTCAGAAAAGTTAGCATTTACTCTTCACATGAGAGAAAAACTTACCATTATCATTAAAAAGATAATGATAAATTACATCTCTGGCAATTTATACATATGAAAAATCTCAGTAGCCTCTTACAAATAAAGATGCAAGCTATATTAAAAGTATTTTAATAAAGCTTGATAGAAAGTAATTAATTTTATTTTAAAAAGGCTTCAATGCATAATTCTCATAAGCAAATAAAAGCTGTTCAGTTTTTAATAAAAGTAATTTAATTTTCTTAATCTATGTGTAACACTACCTGTACTAAGATAATACGTATATATTATTGGGTGC